AGGCCACTCCCGTCTCCCTGGGCCTGACAGCCTGTGAGGTCAAGTCAGGTCTTTTGAGAGCGGTGGTGAAGGTGCCATCCCAGGAAGTCCAGGTCTGCGCTGCCTCTCTGAGCCTGTCCAGCCCGGCTCAGACTTGCATCAGTGCGGGCCACAGCTCTGTGTGTGTGTGTGTGTGGGGGGGGGGATTTGTTCTATTTGCTCATTTAGCCCATGAACATTTAGAGAGAGCAGCATGGCACTAAGTACTGGAGGTTTCAGGACATAAAGCCTGGTTCTCACCCTCATGGAGCTCAGTTTGCATAGAGGACACCATCAAGAAAGTCCCTGATAGAAATGCTAGGGCTTGAAAGGGCTAGCTAGCCTAGTGGTTATAAGCCAGGCTGGAGCCAGGCTTCAGGGGTTCAAATCCTAGCCTTACCACTTAGTCCTATGACCTTGGGCAAGCTACCCAATCATTCTGTGCCTCAGTCTCCTCACCTGTACAGTGGAGAGAATGATAATACTCATGCGGCTGTTGTGGGGAGTAAGTGTGCTAGTACACGTGAGACTCTTCGCATGGTGCCTGGCGTGGTTTGCCCTGAGTAAGCACTGGCTAACTTTGCTGCGATGACATCACTGTTTCTCTGCTGTGCTCTCGCTGCATCCCAGGCACACACAGCTCGGGCAAGTCAGGGAAAACTTCCCGAAGGAGGAGATTCCTGAGAACTGAGGCGTAGAAGGGAGGGAAAGGCATTGCAGGCTTCGGGAACAGCTTGTACAAAGTCACAGGACATGAGAGAGCATGGAATTCAGTGGGACGAGAGTGTTGGAAAGACTGTGTATTGGGGAAAAGGAATGAAATGGTCCTAGGAAAGAACCTACGACTGGAAAGAGCAGGCATGAGGCCACAGATCCAACCAGAGGGGGGGCGGCTTTCTACTTCCTCTGGAAGCCTTAGGGTGACAGGGACTCTGAGTGTGGCCAGCGAATGAGCTTATGCCACCTTTACCAGAGAGAGAGAGAGAGAGTCGGCAGCCCCCTGCATCATCCCCTGCCCTCGGAACCCATCTAGGAAGTGGGTTTGAAAGTTGTCCAGGTGGACAGATTAGGTCATCATGAGCTGGGGTGCTGACTGAATGACTGAGCTGCACCCACATGTCCCCTCCAGCAGCCAGAGGAATGAGCTCATGGCTGGCACAGCCTCCTCCCTTCCCAGCCACCACCGTGTTCCACGGTCCGGAGTGAGCCAGGCATTTGAACAGCAGTCCCTGTGTGCAGATTAGGTCCCCTGGAGCTGGCGTGTCCCTGAGGCACAAAGGCTGACAAGCCCCGAAGGCTGGTTGCAGGGGTTGGGGTGGAGAACTGCCTGGCGGGGCTCACCTCGGCCTGGTGGGGTTACGGCCCGACCTTGTTTTTCCGGACACCCAGCCCCAGGTCTGGCTTTCCTCCTCAGGCTCTCCACCTTTGCAAAGCCCAGAGCGAGAGACAGTGTGCTCCCCGGAGTAGGAAGAAGTTGGGTTAGGCGTAAAGAAAGTCGCCCCAGCCCTTGCTCTAGCCACGTGGATACCACAGTCAAACCTGGGTCACCTGGGACCCTGGGCCAGGAGCAGGCGTGTCTCAGATGTAGGCAGGGAGGGAAGGGAGTGGGGTCTAGTGCGGTGGTTTTACAGGCTGGGCTTTTTTCTTCCTTCCCATGGCAGACCTCGTATTCTGGCAGGATGCAAATGCACCTGAGTCCTGAAAATCTGGGGAAGGTGAGGTAACCAGCTTCCTCTCTCAGCTGGCTCTCTGAGCAGGACGGTAGGGTACGGAGGTGGGCACAGGCCGCCCAGCAGGCCAGGGCCGGACAGGACGGCTGCTCAGTGCAGCAGAGGGCCGGCTGGTACAGTGACTTATGCACAGCACTGACAATTCTTACCATCTAAAAATAATATTTTAAAAATTAAATATATTGGGGCGATGGTTAATAAAGTTATATAGAATATTATTATAAAGAAAATACAGAACATTTTTTACAGTGTGACTTTAAAGGTATATTTTTTAAAAGTGGAGCAGGCACAACATTAAGGGCTCTCTATTTGTTTTTGTTTTTTTTCTTTTAAGGGCTCTCTATCTGTTACTTTAATCCTCCTCACAACGACCCATTAAGTCCGTAATTTTACCCCCAGGGGGCAGCTTCACGAGTGAGGGACCCAGGCAGTCCTGTGGGGCCCTGAACTGGGCTTAACACTCTGCTGTTGCCATCTTGAAATCCTTAGTTCCTTTCTTTTAACAAGGAGCCCTGCATTCTCCTTTTGCACTGAGCCTGGCAAATGACATAGCCAGTCCTGGTGACCCCCTGCTTCTCAGAAGATCATGCAGCAGCAGAGTGGTCACAATGCACTGAGCCCACGATCAGAGACAGGGTGCCCCAGGGGTCTGAACCAAGGGCCCAACCCAAGGGCCCACACCTTCTGGAGTGGAAAGAGCTGACCAGAGTCTGAAGACTCTGTGCCTAAGTCCCACTCTGTGCACCTGCCTGTGGCCATGGGCAGGTCCCTTTGACCCTCCCAGCCTTGATCTTTCCACCTGTGAAATGGGGTGACCCCTCCTGCTGCCCGGGGCTACTGGGAGGAGCAGCCATGTGAACATGGATGCTCTTATACATCCCCAAAGCTCTGTTGATTAAAGGATCACCAGTAGCTGACTCACAGCTCACTGGTGCTCTGTCCATGCCTCCAAGTCACCCTGACACCATCTTCACAGACCTCCAAATTGACTTAGAAACCGCTCATTAAAATAACCTCCCCCTTCCCGAGGAGGCAGCCACATAAAGTGATCCAGTCATGGCTGTCGTCCGCCCCAAAGGGAGACCTTTCTCTAACAGGTTCTTGCTCTGGCTGTAGGTGGTCCTGCCCTTTTGGGTGGATGTGCAGCTGGCAGAGATGGAAGGGACATGGCACTTCCCATCAGTTTCATCTGCTCATGGTTGTCTGCCATTACATCCTCTCTGAAAAGCTTTGCTGGAAATAATCACAGCTCCCGTGTCAGTGGGAAGGAGCCCCGTGGGGTAAAGCCACCCGGAGGCACACTCAAAACAGATGCTGGCACCCCCACGAAGAGGTAGAGGTGCCTGGAAGGGGCCCAAGAAAATTGTTAACCAGTCTTTAGATTAGGAAAGATTCTAAAGACACCCATGTGACCGCGAGATGCACAGAAAGACATCCATGCCAACACTCCACCATTTGGGAGCATGCTAAGCCTACAGAGCGCCCGGGCCAACCTTAGTCCTGCCAATGCCCCAAGCCTAAGAGTCTGGTATTATGGCCCTGTTTGACAGGCGAGTAAACTGAGGCTAAATTAGCCTGACAACTCCTACAGCTAAGGCCGTCTGACTCCACGTCTAAGGTTCATATCCCAAGACCAGTGGTTCTCAGTCCTGATGTCTCACTTGGACACCCCGGGGATCTTTAATGATATGCTGACCCCTGAGTCCACCCAGGTGCACTGGATTACAGCCTCCAGGAGCGTGGCCCTGCAATAATCCACATTTGTGGAAATCCCTTGGGAACTTCACCAGGCAGGGGATCCTCACCTGCATGGCTGGAGGTGAAATCGGGGTTTCTCTGCCATCAGGTGGGGCGGGATATCCCTCGTCATTCCTCGGGGGTGCCCCAAAGCAGACGGCACCAGAGCATGGGGGCGGGCGGTCAATCTTCCTCTGGTCAGACTGTACCACAGTGGGAGTTGCAGGAATGTCTGGGACAGACAGCAAGCTCTGCTCTTCTTGAGCATCTCCATGCCCTCACTGGAGAGAAACCATGTTTGGAGAGAAGGCTCCCCGGGCGGCCCAGCCTGTATTTTGATTTTGCCCCCCACCCCACCAGTTCTGCCTCCTCCTCTGCCTGCCCACCGTCACCCAATGCCAAGTCCCCATCACCCCAGATGAGCACTCGCGACTCTTAGTTCCAGTTTTCCTCTTTGCAGAGATCTTTTTAGGCACATACAAGTCAATAAAAATCTCTCTTCCTTCCTGTCCTTTTCACACCGAGGGTGGCATCCTCTCCAGGCTGTGAATGTCTTGTTTTTTTCAAGTAAGCTTTAGCTTGGACGTTGCTCCACACCACTTCCTTCCTTTTCACAGCTTGCCCTCAGCCCAGATTTTTAAAACACCCTGAAAGCCAAGAACTTCTCTCCATAGGCCAGATCAAATGATCCTGCTCTGAGGGACCCTGTGGATGCAAGGACATGGAGGTTGGGGGGCCGGGGCCAAACTCTAACTGTGAGTTACTTCTCTACCCTGGGCCCCAACTTTATCGGGCAAGCCCCTTGGCTCAGCCTTCTCCCAGAGGCCAGGAGGCTGAATCAGATGAGAGAGCAGAAGCCCTTGCCCAGGAGGCACTGCAGTGTGGGCATGAATGTGATAACCACCTTCCTAGAATGGTGAGTCACTTGGTATAACAATTGACCATGAGTGCCGTCGGCTCTTCGTTGGCTGCTGGTTTATTTGCTTCCTCCTCTGAAGAGGTGAGGTAAGGTGTTGTTCTTGGAGGAAGAAGCTGAGAGTGTGCTGTAAGACTGGCCTGGAGAGCTGGGGCCCGAGGACAGGTGCTGTGGTGGGCGGGGTCAGTGGACCCAGCGGCACACCTGTGTTCTGCATGGGGACCCACAGGCGGCTGCCTCTCAGAGAGGCCTGAGTCCTCAGAATCAAATGACCTGGCCTCATGCTTGCTAATTGCTTGGAGCTCTTGGGTGAGTCAGAGACTCAGGTGTCTCACATGTGAAATGGGGACAAAAGCAAATAATTATACTTGTAGTGAGGATTATGAGATTATAAAGATGGAATCATTTCATAAATCGTGAAACGCTGTACAAAGTATTGATTTATTATTCACTTCTCTGTCTCACTTCTAGTCCTGAAGTAGCAATTAGCAGCCTTGTCAGTGAGCCTCTCTGAGCCTCAGTGTCCCCTCCCGGGGAGCCCAGGAGCACACAGGCCTTGTTCACACCCTCTGCTGACACCGTTCTCACCCTTCTTGCAGGGCCCTTACTGGCCAGCGGCTTCTGGCTTCTCGCCACCTGCCCTTCCCCACGAGGAGGAGCTGCTTCCCCACCCATCTCTGATCCGTCTGCATCTCCGGGACTGATAGATCTTCTTGGCAAAGCTGCCCCCAAAGATTCCTGCTAACGCTTGTCTGTTCCTGCCTTTTGCGAAGCATGGCGCCCACAGGATTTTGGAAAGAATCTTAAACTCCGGAAAGAGCAGCTCGACAGTGGCTCCGGAGGGTGCTCTGTGCGGCTCATCCCCAGTCCCTCTTGGCTCCGGGAGCTGCTCACATCCCAGCGATGCCCTTAGGAGCCTTGGCCCCAGCTGGGTGACATCACTCCAGAGCGGGCACCAACCTTGCCTAACCCGCTGGGACTCCCTTATCACCTCCACCACCTCCCATGTCTGACGGCTTCTGCAGACTCTAGAATGTCTGTACCCCAGATCCAAGTGGAAGAAGAAGAGGGGCTGGCAGGGGCTGCCCCACCTCCTGATGACCACCTCCGGAGCCTGAAAGCCCTCACTGAGAAACTGAGGCTGGAGACCCGCAGGCCCTCCTACCTAGAATGGCAGGCCAGGCTGGAGGAGCAGGCATGGCCCTTCCCCAGGGCAGCTGCTGAGCAGGGGGCACGCGGGGAGGAAGAGCCCTCCCCACCGAGAGAGCCCAGGCAGCATCCCCCGCCTCATGACAGTGCCAGCCAGGACGACGGGACCCGGCCCACAGGCAAGCTGGAGGGCTTTGAAAACATCGACGAAGCCATAGCCTGGCTCAGGAAGGAACTGGTGAGTGGCTGCCCCTCCAAGGATCTCCCGAGAAAATGCTGTTCTCTGTGTGTATTTCTGTGCCTGTCTCTCTCTGTTTCTGCCCCCATCTCTGCCTCTCCCAACTGCAATCTGTCATCTTTCTATGAAGTCAGGAGCTGACTTCACTGCTATGTGGTTGCATGACATCCGTGCATCGATAAGCCCCTAATGGCAGGTACTTCTGAAGCCAAGTGTTGCCCATGAGAACCCGAGCCCGGGAAAGGTGTCCCCAGCCTTTCCCAGTGCCACCCCCGACAGCACAGTCTCCTACTCTCATCCCTGGCCGGAGGGTCCTGGAGAAGGACTGCCCCTCTTCTCTCTGAACCAACACTGCCACCTGGCTCCTGTGACCATTCATTCAGCAAGTGGAGCTGTCCCTGTCCTTGTAGTGTTTTGCTGGACAGCGGGGTGAGCTCAGGGCAGAGCCATCAGGGCACAGAGCTGTGGCGGGGCCGCTGGAAGCAGCACAGGCTCAGCCCAGCAGCGCTCTGCTGACACTGAGTGGTGCACACAGAGCCGCACAGAGGCCAGTGTGGCTGGGCAGGCCTGCGGTGAAGGCTTCGGGCTGAGCCTGAGGCTCAGCCTGGATATCAGGGCTCGGCAGCATCTAGGTAAACTGTGTGCAAGTGACAAGCATGGGTTTGGGAGCTGGGGCCAGCAGTTCAACCTTTTTTCTGCCCACAGGCACAGCAGGCTCCCAAAGGTGGTGGGCGCACAGAGCTGTGTGCCCTTCGCCCAGGGAGAATCTCTGGTCCCAGGCCCAGTGGCTTCTCAGCAGAGCCCGCCAGAGCTCAGCAGAGGTGTGATGCTAACCCTCCCCACCCACCCTGTCACCTGTGGCCCAGGTCACACCTGCCCAGTCAGGCCACTCTCACCCCAGGTGAGCAAGTCATCAAGGGCCAACTGCCTCCCAGAACCACTGGGAACTTCTGAGTCAACCTCGTAGGCAGAGGCCTGTTTGGTTTGTTCTGCATAATCCTAAAAAATACCTCCCCATCAGGGCCTGGAGTTCCCCGTGAGTTGAAATAAATAACTGGGACTGGGGTAGGGGGTGTTCAGAGACTCGGGCATCTGATTAATTGGAAATCATTTTTTTGGTTTTAATCTTTGTCATTGAGACTGCTTCTTAAAAAACATCATTCTACTGTGTCTGTCTTTAGTAACTGGGGTATAACTTGGTTTGCATAAAAGACGGGGCACCTGTGGCTTCTCGCTGTGTTACCAGACATTGCACCACCGCTGGGCACTCAGGAGGGTGTAAGAGGGGAGGGGAGGTGGACTCTTGGCAGCTAGGACAGACCCTGGATGCTGCCCTTTAGATTCCTGAGGATGAACTGCTTTCATTTATTTTCACAAAGAGGAACAAAAAATATTTCCATTAATCAAGGATTCAGTTTGTTTGTTGAAGGTTCATCTGAGGTTCTGTTGCTTTTGGGACCAGAGGCTTTTACTTCTTCCTAAGTGAGCATCCCCCTGTGCTCCCCTTTTCGGCCGAGGTCAGAGTGGAATCCCCTGTGTGTGAGCCACTGGGGAGTTCTCTAGAGCATGTCCTCCTCACTCTGTAGGTGAGAGAGGTGCCTCTCAACCCAGGCCACATACGGGGATCACCCCGAAATTTCTGAAACTTCCCACACCCCAGACCACACCCCAGACCAAATGAACATCTGAGGTCAGGGGGTGAGTCCTTGGCAGCAGTAGTTTTTAAAGCTCACCAGGTACTTTAAGAGTCAACCTAGGTGTGAACCTGCAGGCCACGCTCACTTTTCTGGCCAAGCAGAACAAGGTGCCTGGCCGGAGTACACCGGCTGAGATGAGGAAGGTGAGACGGGTCCAGGACAACCATGGGTAACGGGTAGAGTTACCCACAGGTGGAGAGAGGGGCGTTCATTGCCAGGACTAACTCGGCTGCCAAAGGTTGTCCTAAATAAGTACAGGGAACATCAGCATTATTACTAATGCTTTATATTTGCAGTGTTCCCACCCCCCCCTCTACTTCTCTGTGTGTCCATGGGTGGGTAATTAGAGTAATAATACTAAGAGATTTGTCACTAATTGAGTGCTCACCGTGTGCTAGGTACATTGATGCGTTGCTTACCTCTTCTGATTGTCACCTCACCTTCCTGTTACCCACATTTTACTAAAGAAGAACTTGAGGCCCAGGGAGGAATGTAGCAATGAGTGAGAGAGGAGAAATTCAAACAGTGGCCCCTCTGGTTGGATCACCTATGCTCTTCTTAGGCACCATACCACATAGTATCTTTCAAGGACATTTGATTTGATTGCAAGGTCTTTGCTGTGTGATTCCTAAAAATGTAAATTCACAGAGTCATCAGCAGTCAACAGAATATGGAGGTGTGGGCAAAGGGAGACACAAGATGGAACGAGGGAGTCCGCCCTCACTCCATCACCTCTTCGGTTCTCACAACAAACCGGTGCCACTGCAGTGACTGTCCCCGTCTTACAGAGGAGCAAATCGAGGCTCACAGCAATCAGAGGACCCGCCTAGAGTTATACGGCTAGTAAGTGGCAGAGCCAGAGCTTGAACTCAGCCTTCATGCCTGGGAGTCAGGAGCTTTGGGGAGAGAGGCAGGAGGCGAGGCTGGAGAGGCGGTCCCTGCGGGGGGGTGGAGCATCTCTCAGAGCAGTGGCTCCCAGACTCCAGTGTGCACGCAGATGACGAGGGTCTCTTGTTAAAACAAAGATTCTGATCCTAGATTCTCCCAGAATCACGTAAGAAAAATGAGGCCTGTGATCCTCAGAAGCTCCTGACTCAGTGTGACAGTTGATGATGTGGGGACTGTCGACCAGTGAGAGGAAGAGGACTAAGAATCGGGTGGTCTTACCTCTTTTCCTTTTCTTGGCTGTCTCACAGTGCAAAGGAGAGGGGCGGGGAAGGGGAAGAGGCCTGGTGGCCATATTCAACGGGAATAACAGTGCGAGGCAGGCCCGGGCTGTGAGAGGCAGGCGGGGGCCCTCTGGTCCAGGTCCCTGTCTAGTCAGGACAACCCACGTTCCCCAAGTGCCTGGGTCTAGGCGCTGGTGTGGACGGAGGCCAGGCGAAGGAGACAGGGTTCCTGTCTTTACCGGTTCCCTGCTTTGTGGAGGAGACAGACGAGTGAGCACAGTGACACGTGTGACAGGAGCTATACCAGAGGTACAATAAACATAGTTCCAAAATGCCCGGGGGAGCTGAGGCCCACGGTGAGTGGTCACCATGTGCCAGGCACAGTGGACTTTGACACTAACTGAAGGGAAACACACAAACCCCCAACTTCCTCAGCAACCAAATCCACAGCTTTACGTATAACTGGCATTAAGCTTCTCCTTATTTCTCCTGTAATAGCTAAGGCCCAGGTCTGGCTGGGTGGCTCAGTTGGTTGGAGCACCATCCCGCACACCAAAAGGGTGTACGTTCAATTCTCGGTCAGGGTATGTATGGCAACCCGTTAATGTTTGTCTCTCACATAGATGTTTCCTTCCCTCTCTCTTGCCACCCCCCTCCTCTTTCTCTCTGAAATCAGTAAACATATTCTCTGGTGTGATTAAAATAAATTAAAACCCAGTTCCTCTGACGGCCATTCTCCTGGTCTAAAAACTAAACAACAGCCAGTGTGTAATTCGTAGTGGGGATGAGGCACCGGGACGTTTGTTAGAATTCAGCCCCTCCCCTGCTCTCCGTGGAAACGCGGGCTCCGTGCCACGAGTGGTGTCAGGAGGGTGACGGGCGCCTGCCGGGGGCTCTCAGGCCGCCGGCCCATTACCTGGTCACAGGCAGAGTGGGAAGAGCGCAAGCTTTCCAACTAGATTAGACTTCCAGTCAGGCTCGACCGCATCGCAGCGGTGAGACTCTGGGAAACTAGTTAGTCTAGCCCTGGGTTTTGTCACTGTGGAACGGGGGTAATGAGTACCTGCCTGGCAGGGTGTTGTGGAGGGACCTGGAGGCAGCTGGAGAGGGGCACTGAGTGCCTGCTGAGCTCCCGGAACAGTCAGGTACCAGGTTATGCTCATCGGTACGCATTACAGCACTTAATGGGCACTGCCACTATCCCCATTGTACAGAAGAAAAAACTGAGGTGAAGTAACTTGCCCAAGGCCAACCAGCGGAGCGGCAATTTGAACCCAGATCTGCCGGACCTCAGAGCCCCTGCCTGAATGGCTGCTACACAGCCAGTCACTCCTGTGATCAAATGGGTGGGAATACACTTTGCATTTCATGAAGTTTTGTGCTCATTCAACATGTCCTCTCAATTTCTAGAACTTTGGGCTGTTACTCTCCAAAGGTTACTCAATGTTGCCCTCTTTCCAAGAAGTCCCCTATTTCTCTGCAAATTCTCCAGATTTCTACGAAAATGGTGCTTCTCCCAGATGTTGCAGGGGCTATTTGCAAAGAAGGGTGCTCATTATTATAAAACAAAGTCCAGGTCTGGCAGCAGATAGGTTCAGAAGGGACAGTCCAAGCCTGAGGTGTTCTCTGTGGCTGGACAATTCCTTTCTCAGGGGTGTATTGTTTTATAAGCTTGTGGACATTCCCTTTCCCCTCCTGGGCAGCTGCCAGGGTCTGAAAAACTGAGCACTGCCCAGTGGGTGATGGTCATGTCCCTGGGTGCGAGCCTGAGCCAGACGCAGCCAGGGAGGGGACACAAGCCAGGGGAAGGTCCCAGAGAGGCCCACGCAAGATGGTTCAGTCCTTGATGGCATGGAGACGGTTTCCAAGTGTGCACTGAGAGCCTGGCACTCAGGAGCCACGAGTCGTGGCCAGAAGGCCGCTCAAGAGCCAGGGAAGAAGGCGGGTCCCGGGCGAGTCAAGAATCTCCCCTTCCAGCTCCCACCCAGGGCAGGCAGCCCACCAGCACCTGTGACAGACGGGCAAAGCCTCCCCTTTCTGATAGCGCTAATTCTATATTTTTTAATTAATTAATTTATTTTTATTGATTATGCCATTACAGTTGTTTTGTTCCCCCCCTTCATTACCCTCCACC